ACTATGATTCTAATAGCCTCCTCGAAATATAACCACTTTGTGATGATGAAACAATTTGACTATTTCTTCAGAGGACTGCTAAAAGAAAAAAGTTTGGGAGGAGAATTTACAATGAATCGTAATACTTTGCCAATATAGCATGTACAGGAAAGACTTCAGATTTCACTCACTTGACAATGCTCTTGCAAAATGTTCGTAATAGTTTCTACAAATTTGGTTCTCTGAACTTGGACCTCTGGATTTGGTTCATTTGAAATAAAATGTGCTCTAGTTGTCGTGATGAAAATATATGGCTCAGAGTTGCAGGATGCATCACTATATGCATTCAGCTATGATTTCTTTTAAAACAATTCACCTATGTTTTCCATGATACTATAATGAATCCTATATGAAGTAGTATAGTGTTGCCTGAAGGAGCTGTAGTCAAGGTGCTGTGTCTTTGATGGACAATGCTGAAATTAATTGTAAAAAAAATCCATGAACTTTTGCTTCTTTTTCCTTTGATGATAAATGAGGAAGTGTACAGCCTGCTAATTATTGCCTCATGATGTATGCCTAGGGCAATAAGAAAATTGGATAATTCCACAAAAAACAAAGGATGTTGGATATATGGCAGCCTGTACAGATCACTGAACAAACAGTGAGTAGCTACAATTGTGCAGCTGCTAGCTTTGGCTGCTGATCTCCAATAAAACAGAGCTCTGGGTACCTACTGCCTGTTGAAAGCTCTCACAGACCACCCCAATAATTCAAAGAGCCGTTATTCACTTCAACATGGAATTCAACCTATTTTGATTGCTTGCTATTTCTGGTCAATTGGATAATCTGAGTTTTTATCTAAAGTTTGAGACTTGAGTGGCTTAGTGTTTGGCCAAATTAGTTCTTTTTATGTGTTTTCTTCGAGCTATGAAGACCAAGATATATGTGATTCTTTTTCTCTAATGTTGTTTTTTGTTTCTCGATCTCTATGGCCTGTTTCAGTCCAATTAATATTTGAGCATGCTAATTCTAGCAACTACTAACACACCTGTCAGTAAGAAGTTCATCTGCCGAGAGATGTGCATTGACCACTTTTAAATCTTTGTACACTAAAAATACATGATTTGCATTCAGAAAGAAGCTCTTCCACCATATCTACCGATAGTGAGCGGACACGATAGGCTACAGAATCTGTATCTTTACTACCTCTTGCATTCGCTTTTAAGTAGGCTATTATATTCCACAGATTCTTCATATTCTTGAGAATTTTCAAAAAAAATGGTGGACAGGAGGGGCCCGACCTGCGTCCGCGCGCCCAGAACGACCGCCGGGGCCGCTGCCGGGGGACGGTAACTTCCGCACCATGGATTTGCCATCTTGCCGCTGTGGACACCGGCCAGGACAGCCGCGCCCCGCTTGCACACCGGACGCCGGGCGAGAACGACGGCGTCCAAGGCCGGGACGACGACCGTGGATGGCCGCACTCGCACTGGCTCGGGCGGCGCGGCGTCCCAGGAGCTACGACGAAGGAGGGCGGGGAGAAGCTCACGCTGGGCGGTGGCGGCTCGGGACCTATCGACGACGACGAGCGGAGCAAAACAGCTGAACTTAGGCGGCGGCGGCGGCCGCTTCTGCGACAAAGCGAGAGGGAATGGGAAGCAAACTACGCCTCGATGATGGCAGCTAGTACAGATCCGATGGCGAGAATCCGGTTGTTTTGAAAGCCCAAAACAACCGGTTATCTTGACATCAGGAAAAATGTTTTAAGTGCATAATTATTTCTGAAAAATACATATTGAAATTTTATTTTAAATCCTCAAATTTTAAAATTTATAGCTTTTTATTCCAAACTTTGTTTTCATCTCGATCCCATTATTTGAGAACTTTCGGATGTCAAATATGGAACTCAAGATTTTGGGAAATGCTAGCGCCCAAGCGTGTACAAATTCGCCAACGCTCAAAGCCACACACCCGATCCATCGCGCGATGCTCGCTGGCTTTGCTTTCCTTGGCCGTCGATTCATTGAGCCACCGGACAAGAAACACCACCGCCCCTAGAGAAGAAGCACACTGCTGCACCACGGAGAAGAAGCATTGTCACCGCATAGGATTTTGTTGAGGAGGTCGCCTTAGTTTGCCATGGCCGCATCAAGAGAGGGGAAGGGAAGAAGGTGGTCGCCACCAGCGGATCGGAGGTGGTGGTGGAGACGGGCGCAGCTTAGGGGCACTAGATATAGAGCTGGAGAGAACCGAGCATAGCTTGGATGGCAAGAGCCCGTGGTTGGTCCTAGCTTAGCTACCTTAGACGTGGATATGCCACATTCGTCATCAGGGTGACGTGCTCGTCACGTTCGAAGACAAGGTGACAACTTCATATACCTCTTAGCCACATCCAGTCTCTTCGTATAGGTGTAGATCTAATTTGCGCACTAGGTGTGTTTGTGAGTGTGTGTGTGTGCGTTTGTTGTGGTGTGAGTTGGTGCGTGAGTCCCGGATACTACAACTTGCACATGAAGAGTTGAGATCTCAAAAAAAATATGGAGTCGGACGAGGTGAGGAGGTGGACGGAGAACTATGTGGCGCCAGTGGCGGGGAAGACGCGAGGAGGAGAAGACGAGACGGAAGGTGTGCAGAATGTATGGAGCCGAACGGGGCGAGAAGGTGGAAGGGGAACGACATGGCGCCAGTGGTGGGGGAAGACGTGAGGAGGAGAAGACGAGGGGGAAAGGTGTGCAGACCGAGCAACTTTCACCTGCACGCGTAGGCATTATCCTGGATGAAACCATATGCTCTATAGCCATAAGTGAAAGTGTAGTGGTAGTTAATAATACTCGTTTCAAGAAACTATTTTTCATTAATATTTATCATATTAATAATAGTAATATAATTGGTCACATTAATTTGGTGCCATTAGTTATATAAAAATTCATTTATGTGTTAATGTAAAAATTAAAATTATTATTAGACATTAGTTTAAAATACACTAATTTGGTACATATTATTAATATTATCACAAAACTAATATACGTGTCATTATTAATATTATCACAAAACCAATCTAGAATCAAGAGACATGGAACATTAGTTTCCCTCCAAAAAAAATAGACAAAGTATTTCCCACCAAATTTTCTCTCCGAACAATACATCTGCCGCCAAACAGATGCCCCTCTCGGTGACTCAGTCGTATCGAATAATTGAATCTAGCTGAAAAAACTCCAACTCCCTCCTCATTTCCACGAACTGAGTAACTGACCGCAGCTCCAAGGCCGGCGGTGGTGAACGGGCTCGACGGAGGCGAAGTGGCCAATTGTCGGCCGAGCGAGCGCGTCGTCGAGTTCCCCGACCCCATTAGAAAGAGAATCTCGGTCAAGCAGAGGACCGACCGCCGGCAGCTGATCCATGCTCGTGGCGGCCGGATCAGTTCGTCCGTCCATCCCAGATCGCTAGGTATGCTTCTCTTCAACTCCTCGTCCGCTCCCACAATTCCCAAATCATCGGCCCTCTTCACAAGCGGGCCAGTCAGCGAACGGAACCCTGTGCCGCTCGAGGTACCCGATGCCGATGTCCTAGTCTCCTACTGCCTTATCGCTCCATGATCATTGCCCTAGGCATACAAATCCCTTGGGCCTCATCCTATAGGTAGTATACACTAGAACTATAGGAATAAAATTTGTCCAAATTTTTGTTCCATTGTTTGGTAGATTGCTTCAGATATGATAATTCTAGTTGGTTGCGATGTTTGACAAATGGTTATCCATTAGTTAATTGGCAAGGTTTGATAAGTAAAATCAGTTTTCCACAACTCTGAATGTGGTTTCAGTTACAGTTTCACAGTGCCCATCTTCTGAATTCAAAATCTTTAAAACCAGTGATCTTTTGATGATGGTCCCTTAAGCAAAGATGGTGAGCTCTTGTAGATGACCAACTTTTCTTAAGGCCCATCATCTTGCTGTTTTGCGAAATCAGGAGAAAGAGAGAGAGGAAGAGGGCTGTTTCAGTTGAGAACAGTAGCAGCAGCAAGCAGCTGCCATGCAGCAGCTTCACCGTCAGCCACCGCCCTCCGGTGCCGCGCTCGCGCACGCTTCCACGCAGCTGCTTGCGTGTCCGAGCCCAAGCAGTTCCCGGCCACCTTGAACCCGCCGGCAAAGTTCGTCGCAGCCGCTCTGTCCCTGCCCTTGTAAATTTAGTCTGCACAGATCAATCATTTTGGTTCTATAAAACTAGAAACTAAAGTTGTGCCTCCACCTTCAGAATACTTAAATGCACCGCTTTTCACACAAAAGATATTTCAGGATCACTTTTCACAAGATTTTAACTACTGGAGTCAAGTTGGGGTAGTAGTACTGAAGGCAACGACTTGAATATGCCAGATACACTAGGTGACAAAAGTCTGCAGCTGTATGTAGTTCTGCTCTGTTTTCCTCAACCTCACAAGTGGTATTTGCCTCATATAGGTTGTGAACTGATTGATCATTATGACAATTTATTTTGACTGAGGATGTCTATTTTACAACTCAAAAAAAATCTTGCATGTCTGGTCTAGACCTGTAGATGAATAAAAGATTGTTCTTTCTTACATCTTGATATGTGTGCAGGGTCTAATTTATTTCTCTTCATGTAAAAATATTTTGTTTGGTGCCTGCAAAGATTAAAATTTTTGGCTAGTTCTGTTTTCCCTGCATGAAAAATTAGTTGTTGGTGCCTGCAAAGATTAATTGTCATATTTTGCAATGGTTGGAAATTTAGCAATCTGATATTGCTATGTGCTGATATAAGGTTTAAAAATTCTATTGCCTAGTGGCATCAAATCTTTACATACCGAGCAAAAACACAAGTATTATATATAAAGCTAATATGCCATCCTTTTGACCATTCTATCTAAACAGTAGTAGCACTTCACTTGTTCTCAAGCTCCAAGTTCAAATAACATTACATATATGCACTTTAATCTAATTGTTACTCTTCATTATCTTTATTCTTAATTTTCTATTGGTACTATATTTTATTTAGATTGTGCAACCATGGCGGTGGATAATTGGACCATAAATCTTGAATGTGATGGGGCACCAAGAAGAGAGAGACATGTGAAAACCGAAATGGACAGAGATGTGAAATGCTATCGAACTCGATTGATTTGATCAAGGATCATGGATACTGCTCATTGACTATCTATACTACAAGCGAAAAAGATAGCTTGGTTGTACTAGAACAAGATCCTCAAGTGATGAAAATGCTTAACGAGTGTGAGAGCAAAAAGATGGTTAGCTTGTTTGTGACAAAGGACGACCGCTGCCACTTTAGCGCCTACCAAGTCCAACAAAGAACCATCCAAATCTAAACCAAAAAACTAAAGGTATTAGAATGAACATATAATTTTACTCTTCTCGTATGTATATCCGATTATTCAAGTACAACTTAACTATTCCATATCATGGTAGTTATCAATGATTTATTTTCATCCAAGATTAGCCTATTCAAAATTTGTTTAGCGGTGAAGAGGAGGTACAAAGAAAAAGAAAGCATTAAATTTAATGCATCTTTGAAGCACTATATGCTAACGAGGTTGAGCAACATGATGATGAAACCGAACACATCAGTACAAATGTAGTTAGATCAATCTCATTCATATCGACTGTATCTTAACTAGTTACTATCACCGCTCATTCTATTTTTAATAGCTGATGGCGACAAAGAACCTAAAAAGCGAAAGGGGACTGTTTTAACACATGTTTGGGATCTACTTGATGGAGATAGGATAGTAGTAAGATGTAATAAGCTTGGACAGCCCATTGGAAAAGAAGGTGGCCTTTTAGGCCAATTTTTGGGCACCATAGCAAGAAATGGTGGTTACTTGTCCGGTTGGTGCCAAAGATTGGAGAAAAGTTAAGAAAGACTATGGAGAAACCATCATTCAATTTGTACAGTTAGCTCTTTCTTCGCTCTTAGCACCTACATCAGTTTGTCTCTAGCCATCTTTGTTTTTGTTTCATTTCGAAAATAAACCTGATATATCTTGAATAGATGAGAGGTTATTTGGGATGATGATTTGGTCTTTTTATTCAAGTGTAATTGAATTTGTGAAGTGAATTACATCTTAAGTGTTGAGTGCATGGCGTTTAGCTCATATAATATTGTGAGCCCACGTGGCGGATGATAGGCAAGAGTGTTTGGTGCAGATTTCATTGTTTAAAAGATATGATTGTTATCATGTCATGAAGTCAAATTCATTCTTTAGTGACTTTCTTATTTTAGACAAAGTTCTTGTATCCTCATTCATGTGAGAAATGGATATTCAAATCAATTGGAAGAGATTGGAGAAAATACAAGGCAACATTAAAAAAGACACTATTTAATCCAAAGAAGAAAAGGTCTGCTTTTGAACAAGCGTTGTCTAGATGATATTGTTGAAGCTGAATGGAAGGCCCTAGTAGGATACTTTGGAAGTCCGAAGAAGGAAAAGTAAGGCACCACTATTTACACTTTGTTTGGTATTTTTACTATCATCGCTCTACTATTGTTGATTTCTACATGTATAATGGTTCATTATTTAATAATTTACTTTTCTTGTAGACCCTTAATGAAAAGAACAAAATAAGTCGTGAAATGAGGAAGACAACTCATACAGCAGGTACAAAGAGTTATGCTCGTTGGTCTAAGGACATGGTGAGTACATCTTCTCGTAAAAAATTATATATGATTCTTCTTGCTTTTCCTTTACTACTATTTTTGCAGAGGCAAGCTGATCCTGAAAAAAAACAGCCACATAGAGCAAAGGTTTATCTAGCCACTCACAAGAAAAGGGGAAAAGGGATAAATGAGCCAGTGGTATGCTACATGCACATGGGAACTTTTTTGCAATATATAATTATTTCTGTTTTCTGATGTCTGGATTTCATTGTTGTAGGTTCAATTGGAAAATCTCCTAGACACACAACCACAGTTAGCACAAAATAGTGAGGGCGGAGTTACATGGGAAGGTGATGCATTACATCAGGTGTTGGGAGAAGAAAAAGCTGGACAAGTGCACGGCATGGGATTGCTTCCGGTTCCTAAACAAGTTTATGGTCAAAAAACACACCATTTTAAGGACATTAATATAGTTTCACTAGATGGCTCATCATCTGATGTAGAGGTTCACATGTTGGAGGAAATAAGGCAACTCAAAGAGCATTCTAGAATGCAAGACAAAGTTATCGAAGAACTAAAAAACAATCAGAGGCACAATGAGAACCAAGAGGCAACAATGGTAAGAATGTACAGCTTAATTTTGTAACTCTGTATTGAAATGCGTTATTCAAACTTTATATCTTTTCTAGGGAAATTGTGCTAGGAGTGATCACAACAATTCTCAGAATCAAGTACTGAATTCTAAAAGAAAGGTATTTGCACTATTTTCCATGTTTTCACCTAAACTAGTATTTTGGCTTTAATATCCTTTCAAAATTTTAGAGAGTCCAAAGTGTGGTGCACCCAACTGTAATGAGGGATTCCTCAAACATAGGGATGAATTGGTAAAGTCACCCTTGCTTGTGAATTTAATGCTTATGCATCCATAAAGGATTTTTATAACAGCTAATGCTACCGTCTTTTCTATTTACTAGAATAAAGAAACATGTGAGTTTGAATTTAGTGATGATGACAATGTACTTTTATCTAGAGAAAAGGTTATCAACTGGTTTCTTATATTTAAGAACAACAATATACTCTTAGTTTAGTACATGTTAATATTTTACCTACTAATTATCATTTGAACGATTTTGAATTGGAATCAGTGCCAAAGTGATAATAATGACAAGGAAGTAGAAGAAGCAGAAGCACAGGCAATATTTGAACGACACCTCCATAATGATTTTGCACCAACAGAGGTACACTATTTCAATATACCATTGAATAAAATATATTAGACTTGTAATGCTAGTTATTTAAGATGTCTATAACAGTGTATAAATACAATTGCCTTTCTCTTCCGTTCAGTTTGATTCTTGTCAAAGGAGTTCCGCCACAAGTAGAATAATACCAAAGAAACAAAATGTATCTATGAACCACACTTTGCTATAATTATAGTAGATTTTGTGTCTTATTATTTTGTACTTTCATTTGACATGTGTAAGGGACATCACGGAGGGCTTGTAGATACTAGAACCATTGCACACTAGGAGGTGGCTCATGACAAGGCTACAAGCTACAGGCGCCAAACACCTAAACAACTTTCTCTAATGAAGGTAGTTGAACATATCTCTTGTTCTAAATGCATGATCACGATGTACAACTAAAGGGTTGCTGGTCACTAAGAGATTATGTCAAATTAATGTAGGTTGGGTCCACAGTGCTACTAATGACTTTGAAATATCCTAATAAGGCTAATGTGGCATATGCAACTCTCTTGAGCACTAATCCAGAAGCCCTTGTTGGTGGAGTTAAGATAGGAAGTCAATTCTACAAAGTGCGTATCAATCATCCTATAACAAAAGATGAGCCATTAGTGAGGCCTATGCTTGGGTGCGACAATATTGGTGATGCTCATGCCAAAGGAGTCCAAATTGCTTGGCCTTCAATGTTTGTATGATCAAAACTAGCTTTCCTAACTTTACATCAATGTATATATGTGCCTTAATTTGTAATGTTACAACTTAAATTTTCTTTGCAGGTTCAAATGATTAATGGTTGAATTCCTACACCAATGCGCATAGGAAGAAGCAGTGGACTTTAGGATCATAGCTAGTTCTTGAATTTTTCTTTCTAGTATGGACTACGTGTGTTTGCTCTCTTGAGCCATATCGTTATGTACATATACTACGATTTGTTCTAAACAAGCACTATGTTTGAGATCATTCCACAATATGTGGATCATGCTATGATTATGGAAATTTGTGGTTTATGTGATTTTACAGTGTGTCATATTTGTGCGATTATATAATAATCCTTGTGCCATATGTATTGGAGAAATAAATATGTGTTTCATAATCCGAATATGTTGCAATAGATATAAAAAAGTGTTACAAACCATGTGTTGCTTTGTTTCATATACTGTGCTCTACCATAATGTGGAAGTGTTACTAGAACTAAAAAAAGTGTTACAATAGACATTCTTGTAACACTATGCAAATGTTACGATAGATAAATAAATGTGTTCCACACTATGCATTCTACCATATTGTTAAGTGTTACTAGAGCAAAAAAAAGTGTTACAACAAAAATCATTGTAACACTAGACAAGTGTTCCTGTAGACAAGTAGTTGTGTTACAATAAACCAGTCTATTGTAACATAGCCAATTGGAACACAAAAGAAAATATGTTACTAAGTGAGCTAGTAACACTCTTTCCAATATACAGTAACACAAGTTGGTGTTACTATATCCCTGCGCTGTAGTAGTGTTAAAATGTTTCCAGGTTGCTCTAATTATTTTAAAATGTTTAATATTATTAAAATGTGAACTTGTGGGAATTTTTGTGAGAAAATGGTGATAGTGTTGACTCTAAAAATTTTACACTAAATTCCTAATATTATTAGCTGCTCACTGTAATTTTTGTAGCTCCAAAATAATTAGTTTGCTAGATAGATAATGATGCCCTATTTTGAATAAAGATTACATCAATAGAATGGGATAAGGAAACACCTTGGAATTGTATAACTAAAAACACTTGTTGGGAAATGACATCTTTCTCGATGATGTTGATACGTAGATTAGTACGTTAGTCATTAGAGCTAGCTTGTTAGTTCGTAGTATGTGCTCGGTTTTAAGAGTTGTTGTTGCCTTGTTAATTAACTGTTGTATCATCTCTGCATCGCATTGCATACCATAATAGGGACGATGATGGATCATGGAGTCATTTGGAGTATCAGAAAAGATGGTGTCTCAGTGATCATGTCACCAAGATGGAATACTAACTTTTGGTTATATGTTACCCAGGCAAGCCCCGGTGCATAACCCCCTACTTTTTGCACTTTATATTATGTTTGTGCATTAAATTTTAAGGAGTTGAATGAAACCCACTTTCATATATATATATATATATGTTTATCCTATGAGTCTTACTAGTATGATAGGATCGTGTAGATTGCTATGCTACAGGACTCCCGTAGAAGTCGAGTGATTGCCTGTCACTCGCGAGAGATAGGAAATATATTATTGTTGTTACTATATTATTGTCACCTGGAATATATATATGAATAACAATTGGAGACCGGCGGAATGGTACTTTGGATCTGGACTTGGTTTGGCATTCAAGCGAGGCTCGGATTGCATTTGTTCCACCTATGTCGGTTAAGGACCGGCCGTTGCATTGGATTCTAACCAGGTCATAGACTTATTATCCCGAGCACATACTTATGTATGGGCGTAGGGAAGACTCATTGCTCTATTGTCATGGGTTCTAGCTCTTTCCAGACCGACTGATTGGAGGCGGGGATGGTGGAGGTCTAAGTACCATACTGAGTCCAGGACTCAGGAGCGGGGGCTTGGAGTCTAGGTTTGGATGGGGACCTGGACCCCGTGATAGGAGGGTGGTGGGTTGGTCCTGCTTGTGCCTGGGGTACAAGCAAGGCGTGTGTTTTGGGGTACCTAGCTGGGCACATTGATTTGTGAATCACCGGGCGATCTAATATGGCTTGTCTACAATCTAGCACCATACTAGGAACTAGAAGATGAAAGATGGTAAAATGATTCTGATTGCTTACCACCTGCTTGAAAGTAGCACAGGTGCTTACATAGAATGGTTAGTTAATGAACTAATGATGACTGCTAATAAAATTGAATATAAGGACGCACATTTAGTAATGCTCCTGTAGATGCAATAAACCCATAAGCCAAATAGCCATGCATATCCTTGGAGTCTTTTTTTCTCCTATCGGGTAAGTCTTGTTGAGTACAATTGAGTACTTAGGGTTTTATTTCTCCCTGTTGCAGGAGACAGGCGAATGCTAGAGTTGACTCTTATGTGTGGATCCCTCCTGGTGGGCTCACAGAGGATTCATTTATGCTGCGATCATAGTTTTATTTATAACTCTCACTAAATATTTTATCAATAGAAGTTTTATAATTTGTTGTCATAGTTTATATATCAATGTTTCATCATGTCATGAATAGATAATTATTTCCATTGTAACACTGATCACATGTTTATATTTTGCTGTTAAATTGAATTGTTCATAACTTTGATAACATGATTACATTCCGTTGTTATAACAATAAATATTATACTCTGATGTTGCATGAAAAGTGATGTAAGAAATGGCTAATCATGATGTAAGCTTTATTGTCTCATTTGTGATCCTGATGGAAAAATGTGGATTTGTGGGTTCTCCCTTGGGGTGTGCTCGACGGAACCACGTAATTTAGTGTCTTCCCTTGAGTACTTAGCTTCTAATGGAAGACAAGTACTCCTAGGAGGCATTAGATGAGGCGATTCTGCCATAGGCTAGGCCCAGACTTCCTGGCAGCTGGTCATCCCTGATTATGCGGCGTTGATCGAACCCTAAAATGTGGACCTTAGTTGTACCAAAGGTAACCTAACATGTCCATTGATCTGGTCTGCCTGGGTTTGTGTTAGAAATAAATTCCCAGCTGGTTGAAATCGATTCAAATCGCCGACTCTCCTGGATTGTGAGAAACTTGACTAAGCTTCATTCTATCGTAGTGTTAATAACAAGTGGAATGGTTCTAAGAATGAAATATTAAATGGCTATGGTTATTATTGTGTTGTCATTAACAATATACTACATGTTTGGCACGGGTTAGTCGCTAATCTATAGATGAATAGTTATAATTAACTTGATGACCGAATTATAAAAGGTATAGTTGAATTAGTGGCTTCTTATGCAAAATGTTGTCAAGCTAGCTCCACTAATAAAGCCTTTCATGATCATTGGAGTCACTTTATTTTTGGTTTATGATGGGTAAGTCTAGGTGAGTACCTTCTTATACTCAGGGTTTATTTCCCATTGTTGCAGATAATACGATGTATCATGGCTACTGTAAGAACTGCTTCTGTCCCACCGTGGACATGGAGTAGGGCCCTGGGCACGGCATCACTTGTTAATCCCTCTCTTATGCTTTTGTGGGATTGTGATCATGAGCTGGCATAGTATTTGAACAACGATGGAGATGTTGGTTTCAAACTTTAATTGCTTTCGCTACTATTTTACCTGAACTTGGTTTGTAATAATTTTTAATCATACTCTGATGTATGGAACTGTATTTGTGAACTTTATGTAATGTGTGACATGTATGTTGAATCGTGTATGATCTTGATTGTATGTTGGTTGAATCAAGACCCTTCGTGGTACTCGATGGACTACAGGGATTATATGGGCTCAAGTTTGACAGTGCGATCGCTTGTGGGCTGCTATTGTACTTGTGCTCTTATAAATTGGACGGTTCTGCTACAGCTGGCATTAGAGCAAGATTCAACATTAATTGTCACATGTGTATTTAAAACAAAGGTTTTTCTTTTTCCAAAACTAGTTTTGGCAACTGATAGATATATGTATAGCTGTTTAAACCTAAAGTTTGAATCTAAAGTGTGCCAGTAATCACTTCCTTTATGCCCAGTTAAGGATTTCATGTGTCTAATTAAATACTAACTTGGGGTTTTTTATTTTCGACATCCATACGGCGTGCTATTGTATGGATGTCATTCACTTGAGTAGTAATGTATGGATCAATTGCCTCTACATCCAAGGTAAGATGATGAGTGGCATGACCGCAAGATGTGAGAGTGCGGTCTAATGGGGTGAGTTAGCTTTGATACTAAAGTATATATATGTCTCATATATATATACGAAGGTATTTAATTGTGGCTAAGCTTTGATACGGTTGTATATGCATATATATATATATATATATATATGGGATGTATTTACTTTCGGGTAGCTTTGATACGGAAGTATATATATGGGTATATATATATGGAAGTATTTAGCTTGCAACCTAGATCCCAGATTTTTATTTCTGCATATATACTTGTGGGGTTGGGCTGAATAAAATTCTTGTGCAGGTATGCTAACAGCAAAACATGTAGCCCGACTAGTTACGTTATATATGAGAGAACACATGTATGCCACCGTTTATGCCGTTAGAAGTTTAATCCTCCTAAGTTTGTGAGGACGTATGAAACGTACATGCATCAAATCATTCATTACACACTTGCATTGTTCCTCCCCTTATAAGTCTCTTATTTGGTTAAGTAACTATTTTCTATTATAACATTGTTCTCATGAGAGTTGCACCATTTTGTTGGAACAGATGGCAACATCAGCTGGGAGTGAGACTTTCCTAGAAATGTTTGGTACCCCTACCCTACTTTGGAGGGTCCTGCATTATGCGGGATATACCGAACCGCCTCTCTATTCTGGAATGAGGTATACCTAGAAGGACAGCCATGGTTTGAGGTGCAGCTAACCATACCAGCTCATACCCAAGCATCCCAGTGGCAGGAGTGGAAGGCAGAATCTAAAGGAAAAACTCCTTGGGAAGGTGCCTAGGTAGTTGCTTTTGAGGTGCTGAGCCAGATATGTCAGCAACATGGGGATGAGCTTTCCGGTAGTTCCACTAGTACTTTCCTCGGGTGGATACATCCATAGTAGTTTGGGCACAACGCAACCACAATGTATTGATCTGAGACTAGGATGAGCAGGCAGATAGTTTTAGTCCCACTATGAGTGCAAT